AACCTTAAACCCAAACCCTAAACCGAAACCCTAAAGCCTACATAAGCCCTTCACTTTCAACCCTAAGCCACGGTCTGCGCAAACGAGACTTGCAGCCTCTGCACACCGCTCCAGGAAGGCCCGCCGTAAGGTGTCGGGCATGAGCCTGCAGATCGGCGGCTTAGTATTTCGGGTTGGGGTTTAGGGTTTAGGGTTTAGGGTTTAGGGTTTACAGGGTTTTTGTTTTTTTTTTAAGTGCTGTGGGTTTAGGGTGTAGGGTTTAGGGGTTTAGGGCTTAGGTTTAGGGTTTCGGGTTTGGGGTTGTTTAGGGGTTGATGTCCATTATGGGGGTAATTATGGGGGTTGATTTTTTGGGCCTACGTAGCATGTAAGGGCGTCCGAGAGGTTTTCATAGAGGTTTACTTTTATTGGGGTTTCGGGTCGCAGACCTGGCAAGCATGCAGTGTGCATCATAGAACGGCTCTTCACAGAAATAGAACAGCATTTCCTTTGGGACAGACGGCTACCGAAGGATCGTTTTCTGCAGGGTTTTCCGTTCCTAAACCCTAAATATCCGAAATTGTGGGAGGACCAAGATTCTTCAACAGATGGGTTGAACCGGTTTTGGGCCTATTGGGTTCTGGAGCAAACTGGGGGTTTTCGAAACCCGAAACCAAAAGATCGCCACGTTGAAGCGCTTCGGGTTTAGAGGGTCACAGCCCTTTAAACAGAAGCGGAAGGTCTTAGCACGGTTGTGGGAATTTGCCGAGGATTTTCCGATGCTTTCAGATTCTAACATAGACAAGACGGTTTAGGGGTTAGGGTCCGGGTGTACCTTTATCCCCAAACCCTACGAAACAGCAGGTTATGGCCCCTTAATTACAAGGTGTGCCACCCAAAAAACAATAGGTTTTTGGATCCCCTGCACAAATACACAAACCTTTCCTGTCATGGATATACTTTGTAGGTTGTAGGCTCTGATCACCCAGAGCAACCCGGTCCTGCTAGCAACCAGAGCTATTGAATGCATGTGTGGACTACCCCGAATCTGCAATTCTGTGCCCAAAAGCCACAAGCCCCTAAAGTCGTGAGCCCACCAACCCTAAACCGACCCCAGACCCTGAAGCCTACACTCCTAAACAGAACGGCGCGGCCACCTGGGAGATTCAGACAATCTCCAAAAGCAACCCTAATTATGCTTTAGGGTTCAGGGCTTTAGGGTGTGAAAGGTTTAGGGTTCAATGGGGTGCAGATTTTATAGCTTAACTTAGCTTATAGGGTTTATAGGGTTAGGGGACCAACCAAAAGCAAGGTGCTTTCTTCTTCAGCTTTACATCATGTGAAATCACCACAATAACCAATGAGTAAACTTCAACCCTGTAACATATTACTTACGGCAGCATTATAAAAAAAAAACATTGAGTCGCGAACACCAAACCCGACACCCTAAGCCCTAAACAGCCGCTTCGATGCTGAGACCAAAGCTGCGACAAGGCCAGGGAGGGTGTGACGAGCTCGCACTCTTCCTGCACCGGAGATTTCAGAACCACTAGGTAATGCAGGATGTATATCATCAATCGGACTCCCATTTGTAACTCTACCTGTGTCCTACCTGTGAAGTCCCGCGATTCCTACAAAACCTCAAGAACGGTGTACTTCCTACATGAACTTACGTAATCTACTACACTTTGGACACTGAAGTAACCTAGGAAACCCAATGAGGTTTGAGGCATATGAATTCTTCCAGACATTCGACAATATGGCTTGCATAGTCAGCCAAGCCCCAAACCCTTAACCCCACACCCTATCGTGAGCTATCTAAGCCTACCTTTCTGGTAGGGTCCCTATAAATTCTATGTTCTGGTCAGGGTTGATAATAGGAACCTCCGGAAAATGCTGGGTTGGCCTTTCAACAATCTGGAAAATATGTATATAAAGGGCCCCTTATAAACCCAAATATGGAAAATAGACAATGCCACCAAAACCAACCTAGAATAGGTTCTAAGTACTTCAAGGTGAACCCTAAAGCCCTTAACCCTAAACCCTAAAGCCCAAACCCGAGCCCGACAGTTTTGCGTTGCCTGAGTAAAGGATGGGACAGCCATTGCCAGCTGCTCCTGCAAGAAATCTGTAGACTTAACCGTTTAGAGTTTACGGTTTAGGGTTTAGGCTTAAGGTTTCACAGTTGTTCGTCGAAGGGCTTGCGGTGTAGGGCTTTAAAGTTGTGGGATTGATTTACGGTTTGGGTTGTCAGAGTTGTCAGTTTGTTTTGGTATGCTTGCGGTGTCGAATTTGATATATTCAAAACTCAGAATTAGCATGGAGTTGTGGGCAGTCTGTTCTACTGAACCGCTGCAAACCCCACTCTGTGGCGTATACAGGAACTTGCTTAAGGATCTGAACATGGGCTACGGGATAAGCCCTAAACCCTAAACCCTAAACCCTAAACCCTAAACCCTAAACCCTACTTCAGTATGGGCTTTCTGGTTATAAGGCTTGCGTGTTGCAGGCCGGGCTCCTGAAACTCTGATAACCTAAGGTTTAGGGTTTCGGGTTTAGGGTTTAGGGTTTAGGGTTTTGGGTTTAGGGGTTTAAGGTTTAGGGTTTAGGGTTTAGGGTTTAGGGTTTAAGGTTTAGGGTTTTGGGTTAAGGGTTTAGGGTTTTGGGTTTTGGGTTTTGGGTTTTGGGTTTAGGGTTTAGAGTTTAGTCCATGTACCCATATAGTAGATACTTAAGCCTTAAAGTACCAATATGCGGACCCCGTTTAAGGCCTAAGTAACTACTAAAACGGTACATGGAGCCTTAGGGTGATAAGCCGCACATGTGCGGGCGAGCGGCTCTTGGGGGTGGTCACGCTCAAGCCCATATTATGAAACTGATATAGCTGAAACTAACAGTTGCTAGAAACTCTGTTGTTGTGCTTGTGAAACACTCTAGGAAAACGGCAGGATATAGTAGCTGAAGGAACGATATACTGATAATTCGAACTACTGATGACGGACAGAAGCCCGTCTTATTTATAGCAACGTTCGAGATCGCAAGTGCGATGCGAGCGAGGCAAAATTCTGTCTGTGACCCTAATCCCTAAACCCTAAACCCTAAACCCTGAACTCTAAACCCTAAACCCTAAACCCTAAACCCTGAACTCTAAACCCTAAACCCTAAACCCATTCATGTCATCCTTGACCCAGGGCCCCTCTAGGAGGATCCAAAAAGTAGCTCCCTTAACTAGGGTTTAGGGTTTAGGGTTTAGGGTTTAGGGTTTAGGGTTTAGGGTTTTGGGGTTTAGGGCGCTCCTATAAAGTACCCCGTAGTGGTATAGGGTCCCAAATGAGGCGATCTACGTTTTCGATCCTCTCCCGAGAGACTGGGAGGGCCATCTCATCATAAGGACTCCAATAAAGGGGACGGGGAGGGGGTAGGGGCCTTAGTTTAGGGTTTAGGGTTTAGGGTTTAGGGGTTTATGGGTTTAGGGTTATTAATAACCAGAATAAGGACTCGATAAGGGTTAAATAAGGCCTATTACAGGGACAAGGCTTTTACTGCCTCAGCAAAGGCCCTAGCGTGGGGAAACTCATCCAGCACTAGACCCTAAAGCCTTAAGCCACTGGAGAAGAAAACCTAAGTGAACCCTGAATCCTTAATCCCTAAACCCGCAACCCCGAAAGGTTAAACACTAAACCCTAAACCCGCAACACCTAAACCCTAAACCCTAAACCCCTAAACCCGCAACACCTAAACCCTAAACCCCTAAACCCTCAGCACTTAAACCCGAACCCCCCTAAACCCTAAACCACCTGGAGCCTCTAGGTTTCATGGGTGGTTTGGGGTATATCAGGAGCTTCGAACTCGTTGAAGGCTATCACCTAAACCCGCAACACTTAAACTCGAACCCCCCTAAACCCTAAACCCTAAACCTTAAACCCTAAACCCTAAACCCTAAACCTTAAACCCTAAACCCTAAACCCTAAACCACCTGGAGCCATGGTGCAGGAGCCGACACCCCGCCCTAAGGGTCCGAAGACTTTTTGGAACCTCAGAAGGTAGGATTTCTGAGACACCACAGAGGTTTAGGGTTTAGGGTTTAGGGTTTAGAGTTTAGGTTTAGGATTTAGGGTTTAGAGTTTAGGGTTTAGGGTCTAGAGATTAGGTTTAGGATTTAGGGCTTAGAGCTTAAAGGGTTCAGAGTTTAGGGTTTAGGATTTATAGGGTTTAGGGTTTTGGGTTTAGGGGACCCAAAACCTCTTCCTGGCAGATTCCAAGACCCCCTCAACCCTCAACCCTAAACCCCTTAAGCCCTAAACCCCTCAACCCTCAACCCTGAACCCTCCTAAGGAGATGTGGACCCTTGGGGCGGACAAGGTTTACGTCGAAGCGCTGGTTAGTCCAAGTTCACCGGAAAACTGGCATCTACCTCCTGTGCGTGCCCCTTGAAGGGTCTCTTTATGGGTTCTATAAGGCTCAGCTTACCTTACAAGAATTCACAGTATTAGGGTAGAGGACGCTTCTCGTCAAGGGTCACTTGCGTCCCCTTGGCACGGACCCTAAGCCCTAAACCCTAGATAAACCCTACCTTAAACTGCCAAAAACCTACTTTTTTGTAGGGTCAAAAATTATATATTCGGGTTTGTGATAAGGGCCTACAAAAAATTTGGTTATAGTTATGGCAGTTCAAGGTAGAGAATAGTCTCGTAGCGCAAGCATCACCACAAGCCAGAAGGGACTACCACTTTTCATCCCTCAGAAATCTTATAAGCCCTATGACCCAAACCCTAAACCGTTATCTTCCCTAGAGGCTCCGTGTATACTCCTACTATGGAAGTAGGTCCCCAAAACCTTTATATGGATGGTCTTTTTGGGGCCCAGCTCCATAATGCCAGTATATATGGACCCTCTGGGTTCTTAAACCTAAACCCTAAAGCCTAAACCCTAAACCCTAAACCCCTAAACCCCTAAACCCCTAAACCCCATAAACCACAAAACTCTGAACCGTTTAAACCCTATGACCTCGGCCCGGGGTCCTGGTAGGCGTCCATAAAGCGCGTGGCATACTTTGAGCTCAGCTGAGCCAGTGAATTCCTGCCGGGGGAAAAAATCAGAGACTCCAAAACCCCTTAATTAAGGAATATACCTTAAATCATAGTAGGGATCCCTACTATGATTTAAGGTATATTCCTTAATTAAGGGGTTTTGGAGTCTCTGGGAAGGTCCATCTTCCGGCTCCGAAAGCTGACTACTGGTTTAGGGTTGCGGGTTTAGGGTTTAGGGTTTAGGGTTTCGGGTTTAGGGTTTCGGGTTTAGGGTTTCGAGTTTAGGGTTTGGTATAAGATTGAAACCATGGGCCCCTAGTACGGGCCTTTAACCCTGGCACCCTGATATACCTACTACATACCCTTCAGGGTCCCTGGAATGCCCCTAAACGGCCTAAGGGTCCCTGTCAAGGGCCCATACTTCTGACCTTAGGTTTAGGGTATAGGGATCACGGGGAGAATGCAGCCTCCCTTGTGCAACATATGGAAACCGGTGTTTTCAAACCCAGCACATCCCAATTAGCTAGTCTCCTAAGGCCCTAAACCCGAAAAATATAAACCCTAAGCCCTAAACCCCTAAACCGTAAAGCATGAATCCTCTTTAGGGCAAGTGCTCCCCAGAGCCCGGAGCGAGTGATTGACCCGGCATAGGAAAACCGCGGAATCCTTCCTTAAGCCATGAGCAGAGGATTAAGGGACTCAGCAATAAGTGACCAGTAGAGCCGAAAGCAGGATACCCCCAACTAAGGTATTTATAACTTACAAGTGTATATCTCGAAGCCTACTTGTTAATAACCTACTTCTCAAGTCCCTGATCCATTAATTGAGTGATTATCCACCTTCAACTGCACAACGGATGTCTTTCAGCGCTGTTCCTAGGACTTACTTGGTGCTAAACCCGAAAGCCCTAAACCCGAAGCCCCTACGAAATCCCTTACAAAGTGCAGGTTGAGCCTTACGGCACCCTTAAAGGAACCCTGAACCCTAAAACCGGAAAGCCCCAGCCCGGAAAAGAAGCCTTCATGGGAAACCCTTCTGGAGGGCTCTTAATGATCAGAAGAAGACCCTAAACCCTAAATTTAAGGGTTTAGGGTTTAGGGTTTAGGGTCCTAAACCCTAAACCCTAGACCCTAAACCCTAAACCCCACGCAGCGGTCCCGATCTGAACCAGCATTCGGGCGGTGAAGGGCGCAGGGCAGCGCGGCTTGCTCGGAGGAGCGGGCGCCTGGCCACCGATGGTAGTAAAGTAGGGGCCCTTATAATTAGAATAGGGTTTAGGGTTTAAGGTTTAGGGTTTAGGGCTTAGGGTTAGGGTTTAGGGTTCAGGGTTTAGGGTTTAAAAAAGGGGCCCTCATAGCTAGAATAGGTTTTGGGGATCCTTTATAGTATAAACATAAGCAGGAAGCCTAGGGAATAATCTTGGTAGTCATTTAGGTTTCTATAGTATACTCCCTTGCCGTATGGCTTGGTCTGAACGTGTGCCACATCAAATGCTTAACCTGAAATGACACGACAGCACCCTTTCAGTTTGTGTGACTGGTGAAGCCCTTGCAAAACCTAACCCCCCCACCCCAACATGCCCTGAACCCTAAACCGTTAATAGTCCTCACAACCCTAAACCCTAAACCCTACCAGTCCCCCCCAAACCAAAGCAAAAACAACAACCACGAGGCACCTTGAGCTCTGCAGCATCCGCCGGGACCACCCTGCTGAGATTTCGTAGTCTGCTTTGAGGGTTCTATAAAAGCTCTAAAACCCCAAAGTATGTAGAATGCTGGCCTTTTATAGGTCTCGGGCCATTATTCTACCTACTTTGCGGGGTTTAGGTGAGGACAAATTTAAATGATCCTTAGATACAGAAAACCACAAAAAAGTTGGAAACCGGATTAAGGACAAATAGTGCTGGGATTCCCTATACACTAGTCTAAAGGATTGAGGCTATCGGGTTTCCAACTTTTGGTCTTCTGCTGTAAGCCCTTTTAGGGCACCTCTCGTCCTCCAGACTTTAGGAGTTCGAATAAGGGTTCAGCGAACGAGGCCCAGAATCGAAGGGCTGTGGGTCCAGGCTTCAATTGTGGGGCTTGGGGCTTTCATGGGTTCCGCTGAGGGCTCTCTATTAGAGTTTAGCGCTTAAGGCTTAAGGGTTTAAGGGGTTTAGTGTTTAGAACTAAAGATCTGGATTTTAGCATCGGGTAGCCCTGGTAGTAACCCTAAAGCGCGCCCTCTTGGGCCTCAGTAACTTGAGTAAATACAGTATTGCTTTACCCTAAGGGTCCAAAGGACCTCATGACCATGTACTTGGGTTACGGATAGTAGTTTTGTAGGTTAGTATTCCGGAGAGTATATAATTAAGTATTTGGACCCTTAGGGACCTCGCTCCAGAACCCACGGGACCTGCCAGGGGGTCGCCGCGGTGCACGGACTGTCGTCCTGGAAGCCCGGATCAGGTTCATCACCTGGCCATGTGGTTCAAAGTGTATAGGGCCCTAAACCCCTAAACCCTGAACCCCTAAGCCTTAAACCCTAAACCCCGTTTAGCATATCAGTCTTTGGGGGTTGGGGGGGAGGTTTAAACTTCACTGCCCAGTAAGCTCTTACCAACCCCCAGAACAATCCCAAGGGCAGTTTCCAGGGAAAACCCCGATGCCCCTCCACCTTGAGGACTAAATGTCCCCTAAAAGCAGGGGCCTTATACTCACATCCTCCTAAACCCCAAGCCCTAAACCCTAAACCCAAAACCCGAAGCCCTAAACTCACATCCTCCTAAACCCTAATTGAACCTTAGGTAGCTATGCCATCTTCTCTGAAACGCATCTTTGGATCGCCGAATTCCTCACAATACCTTCTGGGGTTTGGGTTTAGGGGTTTGGGGTTTAGAGATTAGGGCGGGAGCGTCCGGACGAGGATCTGAAGGCACGGCAACGTAAAATGCAAGGTAGACTTTCTCGTCCGGCAAGGACACGAAGTCGCCGACGAGTGCTTCTGCCACGTGACTGACGTTGGTGTCGCTGATTCTCACGAAGCCGGAGCCGTGGCGGGTGTAGGCAACATAGTGACCGGCATTGGCTGATCGTCCGATGTGCGTGATCAAGCCCTGCAAGCGGTATCGACTTCCAGCGATATCCAGCACGTCGTTGCAGTGGACCTTGTGGGCGATGACGTCGTGGAGAGTTTCCCAGTGCTTCAGCAAGAGCATGGTGGAGTCACAATACTATAGCCCCTACCGCCCATAATCATGTAGAAAGTATATCCCTTGAAACCTTATTAGAAACTATATCCCTTGAAACCTTAAACCTACAAATTGCTTCATAAAAAAGGATTATTGGGTTATCTTGGACTTTTGGACCAGCGGCTCTCCGGATGTATTGCGACGGTAGCTCTGGGGTCTAAGGGCTCGATTCTACACCACACCTGGGGCTCCATTGACCTACTGGTTTAAGGGGTATACCGTATAATCAAGGGGTCAGAACCTACGATTTGTACGATTTGTCCTGTTTGGCGCTACAGGTAGCTAAGTTTCCTACACTTATCGTTTAGAGATTGGGTTTCTGACAGGTAGACATGAATGCCATGCGGCCATAAGGCTCCAAGAAGCCCAACCGCCTGTGTTTCGATAGTCCCTACCCATAGGCCCCATAGTAGTTCCTTTTGGGGATTCCCTCATAGAATCCTAAATATAAGCCGCAAAAAGGAACTACTATGGGGCCTATGGGTAAGTGTAACAACCCTAAATCCTTACTCCAGGGGCAAAGGTTCAAGTACCTAATAATCACCGTTCTCCCAAATACTAAGAACCTGCACAACTACTATCCTTAACCCGAGTACCCAACTATGGTGTTCTGTGGACCCTTGCTAATCTCCAAACTGCGGTGGTTCTACCCAAAAAGACTCCAGCACCCAGATCTGAAGGAAACAAGGTGTTTAGGGTTAGGGCAGTATTCCACACATCCCAAACCCTAAACCCTAACCCATACATCAAAATCTTCGAAATGGGTTTAGGGGTTCTTAGGGGTTAGGGTTAGGGCAATATTCCACACATCCCAAACCCTAAACCCTCAACCATAAATCTCTAGTTCAAGATGCCTCTACATCCCAAACCTTAAACCCTAGACCATAAATCTCTAGTTCAGGATGCCTCCACATCCCAAACCCTAAACCCTAGACCATAAATCTCTAGTTCAGGATGCCTCTACATCCCAAACCCTAAACCCTAGACCATAAATCTCTAGTTCAGGATGCATCTACATCCCAAACCCTAAACCCTAGACCCTAAATCTCAAGTTTAGGATGCCTCTACATCCCAAACCCTAAACCCTCAACCATAAATCTCAGGTTCAGGATGCATCTA